CTCTCACAATTTATTGTTTCCTTTCATTTTGTTTGTTTGTTTGTTTGTGACTTAATCTCATATCCTTACAATTCTGAAGAGGGTTTAGGCAGCTTTGTTCATTAGTCTTGCTCCAAATCATGATCTCGCAGATCATGATCTTCACAGATACCAAGAACCAACTCTCTTTTTTGATACGGCTCATCCTCTGATAGAAGCAAACATAATAATTTGACTCATAAAACATGCAAACGAACTTTCCTGCAATATTTTCACAATTTTTTACATTGAATCTCATGAAAAATATCCCTGAGAAGAGCATATCTTTCAGTAATAGAATGCATAAAAACATATATTGTAAAGTAAAAGTTAACATTTTCAAACTTTGGAAAGAATTTCGGATTCTATGAAGATGTATTGGGGGAAATTAAATCAATTGATCAATTCACATCTTAATTAATTCACATCTGCCTGAACTACGATAATATCATTTCAGGCAGGCATGAGATTAGAAATAGTTACATGACCATAACCTTCTGCTGGGAAGATGCATGGTTCATTCCCTACTTCAAGACAGCTATCCCCACAAAAGGAGTGTGAATGGCCAGACAGATAGGAAAGAGTTTGTATACAAATCAACACATCTGGAATTTGACACAAGATTTAAGATTTAAACAACTAAACAAAGTCAGATCTGGAAAATGACTAAAATGGCTTTAAAACTGATCTTACCAAACACAAGAAAAGTAATTACCACACAATTCAAACATGGGAACATCACCCGCAGATCTAACAATTCAGGCAAATAAAATGGCACAGGAAAAAGCATTAAGGTTCCCTGGTCCCCAGCTTTTATTAATGGGACTTTACACACATTTTAATAGGACATTATAAACATTTGCTTTGGTTTAGGCTGAGGAATGAAGAAATCAGCCTTTTCACTTGCTATAAAACGACTGAAAGAAGTCTACGCCTATTCAGACCATTTTGTTGCTAGAAATAAAACTAAGCTTACTGAATAATGGGTAATGTAGATCTTGGGGACAATAAGAGTATGGGAGTGCTTTTTATCAAAATAAAATAAAGAGGGCCCTTTGTGTAATCCAGAATTAATGTGAAATTGGATCATACAAATCAAAGAACTGCAGTGCATACAGCCATAAATCCACCATCTGTGCACAGCAGACCTCAGAACGGACCTTCTGAGGCTCTGGATTACAGAGTAATATTTTGCATTTCTTTGATTCACATCATTTGGCACTTTTCAAAACACCTAGCATTATACTACATCAGAATCCATACTCTGCTCGCAGGGTTAAGTCTATGAAAGCCACTATGCATGGTGACTTCTTAACTGCCCTTAGCATAAAAACTCCATGCAAAACAAATTATGGCATTGTCACCTAGAATGGCCAATTACGGAAAGCAAATTAACACTAGATCTTATGGTGTGGCTGCTGCCGCTGCCTTCTTCACAGATTCGCAACACAGAAAGCTGTAACAACACCGTAAGGCGGATTATAAATATTGGATATGGACAAGGAAAAAAAAATTAATAATGGAAAACCGTTCTGCTGGCGCTAAGTACAACCTGCTGCTGAATCGTTTATGGCTTCTCTTTTCCTCTGCAATATGTCCAACGTAAGAAAAACATCCTTGGAGAATGTGCAATCTGAAATCATCTCAGACTGCTTTAAGGCAACAAATTTCAGATCAATCAGCGGATCTCCATTCAAGTACCTGTGTGTCTGAGCAGTTTAGGATCTATCAGTTGGAAATGGAGCTGTTGGGAAGGGAACAGAAGGCCAGTCTAACACTTCAAACAATTACTACTATGTTAATAGAGAATAATACTAGTAAAGAAAACAGGACAAAAATATAAGTACTACGCAGGAATGGTAAAACTTAAAAGCAAAACAAAACAAAAAAAGTAAGGAATAGACAGCAACGGCACTGATGTCCTTGGGATTCAGGGAACATGACCAAGTGTCCTGGTTTTGGCTAGGGTAGAGTTTGTATTTTTCATAGTGGCTCATATCGTGCTATGTTTTGGATTTGTGACCAGAACAGTGTTGATAACACACTGATGTTTGAGTTATTGCTGAGCAGTGCTTGCACAGCACCAAGGAGTTCTCTACTGCTTATGCTGCCCTGGCAGTGAGGAGGCTGAGGGTGCACAAGAAACTGAGACCAGACAGGCCAAGTGGCCAGTCCAGGTGACTCCATCTAACCAAAGGGATATTCCATTACACAGGACACCACATTTAGCAATAAAAGATGGGGGGAAAGAAAGCAGAAGGCAGAACATTTGGAGTCATGGCATTTATCTTCCCAAGTTACCGTTACACATGATGGAGCCCTACTTTGCTGGAAGTGGCTGAATGGGAAGCAGTGAATGAATTCCTTATTTTGTTCTGCTTCCACATAGATGACCAAAAAAAAATTTTAATGACATTCTACCTTGCTTTTCAGAAAAACTGAAGTATATGGAGTCTTCGAGATACCTTTATTGTAAGTAGTTTATTGTTTTTAATTTTTGAAATTAATTTTGGCATAGTTCTCATTTTCTACTTAGTTCCATTATTTACACTGTGAAAGGTACAAAAAAAAAAAAAAAACATTTAAAATATTTCTCACTTCTTGGTCGTTCCCTATTATCATTTTGATCTGCCACATTTTTCTCGTAGGTTTAGCTTACCTAGACAAATGGATTCTACTCCATACTAGAGTAGCTCAATTTTTGCATTTAATGTAAGAATTAAAATAAGCCTGTCATGATAATCTTTCATATAACATGTTTTTCTACTGGCTGTTAAAAAAGCAAAACAAAAAAAAAACAAACAAACAAAAAAAAAGCATAACACGAAGCATTCAGGAACTAAGGCTTGATAAAACAGAATCCTTTAGGAAAAGTTGAGCACAACTGCATGATGACAACGGTAGTTTTCAAAGGGCAAAAATAAGTTTTCTTAACTTGATCAATAATAATAAGCAGGATATACATTGGTTTATAAACATTTAAATTATGATAAATTATGGTAAATATTCTATGCATGACTTCAGTAGAAATATAATAATATATTATGTTCACTTCTTTATAGCCACAGGGTGTAGTAAAATTGTGAGCCTTCCCAGTATTGCTGCTGAGAACAGAGTTGGCATGACAGCCCATAGAGGCTGGAATTTAAGGCCCATCTCCATCTCTGACTTTTAGGCTACTCTCTCCCAACGATGCTGATATTGCCCTCTAACAGCCCATTTGACCAACCAGCCCTTCATGACTGGGCATCAAGCAGGAACCCTTTTCATTACCTCCATCAAAGGAAAGACAGTTAACTTGAGGCACACTAGGCAAGAAAATTATTCAGCAGACCCTCTGACTTTCAAGCACATGCAACACACAGAAATATACTCAAGGCATACTTGCGTGTGTTAATGAGGGAACACGAGTATTAGTATCAAAATAAAACAGAAAGAGGATAAACCTGGAAAGAGCACTCTGTTGAGCAGTGTTGATAACAATTAGCAGAATGGTTCTGACTTCAGGCATGAAGTCCCCATTCTTCCTGCTGATAAATATTAATTTATACTGCCCATGTTAGAGTAAATACATATTACATATCCGAACGATATGTTTGTATCACCCTCTGTCCCTCTTTGCACACACACATAACATAAAAAAGCTTTCAGAGTTAATTTATTGCTAAGAACAAGAAAGCCTGTTGATTTTTTTTTTTATCATCCCATTAATGTATGATTCCATCTCCCAGGCAAAATTAAGTAAAAAAATAAATAAAAAGAGAATCAGACTCTGGCTCATCATCTCTCCTGCTCCTTAGCATGAAGTTAAGCTGCCAGCTTTAGTTCTGTATTTCTTGGATACCACACAAATAACTGAGGAGCACTCATAGCCACCAGGTACTGAACCCATCAGCTGAAATGGGAGCAAAGGGCAGCAGGCAGAACAAGTGAAACAAAAAGGGCCAGATTAATTACATTTAATTTGTTCCCAAATAAAACCAAAACCAGGAAATGAAATATGGTAGAATCCAAGAGGTGAGGTGGAGGGAAAATGATTTTAATTGTATTAGCTGCAAAAGATATTATAGCTGTCTAACTTGCTTCAAGTTTGAGGTATAAATATTGCTAAAAAGGTTATGGCTGGGCAGCAAGTAGAAGGTTGCCAGATTATGCTGCTCTGGCTGCCAAATACCAAGTCAGGTAAAGGCCTCTGGAGAGAGAGGACATCATTTCCATGGAAACACGTGAGCAAGCTGACTTTCTTCTTCCCCTCCCCAACATGTTTCAAGTTCTAGTCTGGTCTTGTTTAGAAGGAAATTCAATTTATTTAACATAACAGGTTTTACTTCTGTGTTCCAGTAAAGTGCAGCTGCAGAGGTTGAGAGCCTTCTGGTGACTTCTGGCAGAATCACATCAGGAAAGGGATGGAGGATGCATCTCCACCCTCTGGCCAAATCCAGGTCCTACTATGTTACTGTTGAAACAGCCACTCAACCAGTGCTGAGTCAAATCATCGAAAAATAAATAAAAATTGATTCTAATAACAAGAACTAAGAGCAAGAAACTGAGAAACAGTGAAAATACTCAGATCACCACTCAAAGATTTCATCATCACCCATTAACCTTCAAAAAAACATTTTTGAACCCTATTTTGGATTACAAAAATTCAGCCATGAAGTGAGTGGCCTCAAACTCACATGTGTACAGCATGACTGTGGTTCAAGCAAGTCGCAAGCACGTGGACAGGCTTTGTCACACTGCCACTGTCATTTTCCGTGAACTCTTTTTATGAGAAGGAGCAAAGAATACACATTGTCTATGACCATCTGAACACAATAAGAGGCTCTTCAGCTGCTTCTGCTTAGGGTTGTTTCAAAATGCCCAAAATGGATTTTATAGGTTACAGAATAAAAACAAGATTAAAGCTCAAAAAGAAAAAAATACATTTGTCCCATAAATTCAACAGATCTTTTCAGTAAAAATACTAAACACTTTCTTACCTGTCTGATGTTGTGTCGCTTGTTACTTGGTGCTTTACTCCTGAACCATTCTTAATCGAGTCTTGTCTGGTGAGCCCTTGAGATCTACTTTTGTCCAAACCTTGTGTGGATATGTCACCTGGCGGACCTTGGTACTGCGAATGCTCCTGCAGCTTTGCTTTCTTCTCTTGAGGTGCTTCCTCGTTCCGCAGACCTCTGATACCTTCTTGGTCAGGCTGCTGTGGCGCGTTTGATCCACTGTTATAAAACCAGGCTCCGGATTTTGTGAGGATTTCTTGTTGTTTTCGGCACAAGTTACATACCCACATTACCTGTTCAGACATATTTAAACAGAAAATCTGTTAGCTAGTAATACTGTATACAAGTTTTTATCAAGTATGCATCAACTGATCAAAGTATAAATAATACTATTTTAACTTTTCTGTTATAATTACAATAGTTTAGCTACAGCACAACATGTCTGTACGACCATGGAAGATTTTTTTTTTAAATATATATAAACAGAAAAATAATTTTATTCTACCTTTGCTTCAACATTTACAATACAGGGGAAAGCCACAGACAGCAGACAAAGGAAAAGCATCTACCAACTGGCATTCCAATGGCATCAAATGTAAAATTTGAAAATAAAGACTAAAGGCTGAGGACGACAGAAAAAAATGAAGGGATAAAAACTTAATTAAACATTTGTATTATTTATTCATTAAACCATTTTCTTAATAAGTCAGAGTATGGAACTTTGGAACAGATTCTTTGCTCATTTGCAACAAGTAACTTCATAATACACCAAAAGACTCTGCTGTGGTCTGTATTTTCTATTCACATGAAGAAGCTGACTTCAAGACGTGACTTGATTTTCAAACCTATTGCAAATTAAAATCATTTTATAAATAAAGTAGCACAATACATATGGTGGTGAGCCTCTCCATCTCATAGCCAAGAATTAGCTTTCACTGTACGCTTGCTAAATGGTTAAAATTATTATAACTTCCCAGTTGTGAGATCCTACACTTAGTGATGAGATTTTTAATATTCAGAAATGTACTCATTTGCAAGGCTTTTGTGTCTGCTCACCTTAGCCATGTGACAGCACAGGAAACTGCCAATGCCAATTATTTGTAAATTAATTTCACATTCAATTCTTACATGACACTAAAATATATCAGGATGTAATGAATAAAATATAAGAGGCGAGCTATTAATTCAATGGCATATTCAAATTGCTTAGGATGTTATCTTAAAATTTTTATTGTATTTAAAATTAATTTACCACAAGTTTAGTCCATCACCCTATAATTTAATTTTTTTTAGCCTTAACTTGGTTCTTTATGTTCTTTATGTACTTTTTGTCTTATTTCCCAAACAAAATGATATCACTTTGGAACTCCATGTTCCTTCACTGTCTACACTCAGCCTCTGGTTCTAATCTAACACCTGAGTTGCCTCTTTTTCAAAAATTTACAGTGCAGAACATTCAATGGCTTAAGTTAAAGCTCTTCGTTATTCTTTACAGTGCTAGATGGTTGAATCGCATTGGGAGTGTCTCCAAACTTGTAACCCACCTGGCTCAGTCCACTGCAAAAGGTTTCAGAAGCTGCAAGCTGCATCTTACTTTTATTCTCCAGTAAGTTACCTAATAGAAAATCTGGGCCATGCTGTCTCATTAAGTCTCCCCAAAAATGTTTTGGTGAAAGCTTCATACAGAAGGCTACTGGAGTACAGAGCTCCTACTCGAGCTCACAGACTGCCAGGTGGGGGTAGGAGGAGTAGGCACTGCTCGCCGGTGGCAGCGTGCCCCATCCCTCCTCACTTTTTAGTGCCCACCTTGGAGTAGTCAAGTCAGCTGATTTCCACAAGGCAGAAGGAGCTATCCAAGCACTGACAGGGTAAAAGGAGAGGCTGCCCAAGTAGCTGGCTGTCTGAAGTAGGCTACATCTCCCCAGAAGAAAGGTCAATGTTGCATATGCTTCAGGTCTGGCCATCATTCAAATACTAATGGCACAACAACTCTGCTTTCCTTTTCCTAATAATTATGTTAGAAAGTAAATAAAAGCTCTGAAGTAGAATTTCAACACAAAAGACAGAAGTATTTTCACCCTCCTTAGTCCATAACAATTAAAAGCCTTTAGCATTTCTGTTTGTTCCGCACACCACTGAAAGAGACTTTGCACCTGTGTGTCAGTGTAATGAAAGGAGCAGACTCAAAACAATTATTTAAGTATAAAAATACATAAAGTTTGACTCACTGCAGCACAAAATCCCTGAAAGCTTTTTGTATTATTTTCCTGTATTGGTAGGTGTTAAAATGTCACAAAAACTAGGTATCACAGTCTAAACACTTGAGCAACTATGTCCTTGTCATCCATTTTCTCCTGGGACAATGCACTCCAGGACAAACGGTATTATCCTCCTGTACCCTACAAACTGATAGGTCTTCCTGAATGAACAGGATTTAGTATCTCCTCCTCTAAAAGCAGAATCACGAGAGCACTCCTGATCTAACCTCTTCCCCGTGACACACAAAAATTAGTGATCTGTTTCAATATCAATCTCGGCTGCTGCCAAGCTGGGTAGGTGGCGATGTACATCAGAGCACAGCAATGCAATTGGCAGGGCCACGAGACCTGGATGAAACAAGCAAGCATTTTGTGATAACAGTTCCAACAAGCCCAGTGCCCGGGCAAAGATGCTATACCTATCTTTGCTGCAGTTATCTACAACGTCACCTGGTATTTTCATTTCCATCTACAGCCTGGAAGCTGTTTCTCACTGTCTGTCAGTGACAGGTTATGGAACATGGGCAATGTTACAGCCCAGGCACTACTGAAGTCAAACTGGTTCCAGCTGTTCCCATCACGCAACATTTCTTACAGACAACCAAAGTAACTGGGTCAGACCTGCAGGAAAAAATATGGGCACTTATGCTGAAAGCACCTCATGAAACAGGAGGAATAATTTAAAAAAGAAAAAAGTGCTTAAGGTATTCCGTGATGGAAAAAAAAAGCCAGACCATGGAAACACAGGCAGTTATGTATTTTGCAGATTTTTTTCTGCCTTTTTAATATGTGTTTCATAATGCACACAGCTAGCACTCCTGAAGCTTAATTTACAATGTGGTCCAACATGCAGTCTTCCATAGTGTTGACCCAAGCAGTTACAATTTTAGCTTCACATAATCACAAAGCCCATGGTAAGTGCTGCACAGGCACAGAAATTTACGTGCTGTCAGCGTGCACCACCAAATTTGAGCCCTCCTCCACTACAGGGCGCAAATGACTTCTCCATCTTACCTGTGTAGAAGCATTGCTTCAACAGAAAAAATCCTGGTAATTTACAGCACAGACCCCCCAGCTGAATGGCAGCCATGGGTGTAAGAGCACGGGGAGCAAGGTGGCATCCTCCAGAACAGGACTTCTCCTGCCACCACGCGCCTCTGGGGCAGCTGCTCGGCAGCTCCCAGACCCCATGGAGTGGCTCTGACCTTGCCGAGCCCCCAGCAGGATTTTGGGTGACTTTGGATGGAAATAGAGCAGAGGGGAAAAGGAAACTGTATGAGTAGATCTCGTGCTTAATGCATGCCTTTTGACATATCTGCAAAGAAGATCCACAAAAGCTTCCCCTCCACAGCAGTACCTACAAAAGGCCCTTCCCTTACATAAGGGATTTGCAGCCTGGCAGGGGCACACTGCCTCCTGCGCCCACTCCTAAAACTCCTCACCACCACCCCGAGGAATTCAAAGTGTAAGTTAGGAACACACTTTGCACACAAACATCACTGATGCAGTTTGGGGTCAATTCTTACCACTGATTTTAAAAGCAAAAGAAGGACAAAAATGTGCTTTTCAACAGCTCTAATCGGTAAGTAAATTTAGATTCTGAAGTGCGAGCGAGGCTGATCCACATTTCAATACAAAAGCCTGAACCACCACCTAGTGCCTAGGCTAAGAATTGCTGAATACCTTTTCATATATCCTGCAAAGAATGAAAAGAATCACACAAAATACATCTAGCCTGACACTTTGACATTAACTCTCATTTCAATTTAAGACAAATATTTATTTTTTTTTAATAAAACACTTTTTTTTGAGAAGACATTCTGAATTGGGATCAGACAGATTTGCTTCAAACCCTCCGTCTGCTTGAAGTTCACAACGATTAATTCTACACACAGAACAGACAAGTTCTAACTATTTCGGTATTTCTTCACCACTTTTTACAAGATTATTCTACAGCATGCTCTCCCCAAAAGCTTTCATTACACAGTATTAGTACTATTTATTTTTTCCATAAGCACACAAAACCAAACTCGGCAACACCTGCAATAACCAAATAATCAGCCACTGAGCGTCTACATGTTGGACATAATTTAGGCAAGAAAAACTACTCCTTGGTGTTGTCCTAAATAAAAACATTACATATTTGTTCATCAGTTGAAACTCTTCATAACATATTACACATTGTAAACCCATTAGAAGGAAAAAGAAATGTATAGAAAAATCATATTTCAATATATTTTAAACCAAAAATGGGTAATTTAATAAAAATGATACAGTATCACAGTCCTTTTAATAGTATCAGAAAATTATGTGGAAAAAAAAAAAGATACCTCACAAAATGCTATTCCCCTGTGTATTACTAAAGCATAGACGTCCCAACATATCTTCTGAGAGCAAAATGGAAGTCTTACTGCATTGAAGATTTTATTAAAAGACACAATATATTTGATTACACATCAGCCTGAGTTTGATACTTCAGATACTACAGTCTAAGAAATATTTACCCTAAATCCTCATTAGCCTTCAGAATACTACTTCGAATTACAGGTGTGCAGAGGTCCAAAATCATACTGGAAGGGTAGTAAGACTTCTAGGGAAGAGTAAGGCTTGTTAGTACTACCAGCTCTCTTAACATTCATGTCCTTGCCAGAAGCAGGCAATATATTAACATTATATTAACTGCTGTGCCTGCTGCTAGATAATTTCCCTAAAATTCACGTGGTTTAAAAATACGTAGCTATTATGATGTGTACCATTTCCTAAACATTCTCAAAAGTAGCAAGAACGTAGCATTGAAAGGAAGGGGAAGGGAAACGAAGAGTAAGAAAACTCATTGCTTGACCATAGCATGGAGACAACTAATCACATTTACCGACATACTGAAGTTAGTTCCTTTTTTTCAGTGCATCAGTCTGTCTGCAAAACAGCTTGATTACAACAGGGAGGAAGTGCAACGTCTGAAGCCACCCTACACCACAGAAATTTTTTGAGGAAGAAATACTTCCACCTCTCCACTGCTTTGCCTTGGAGTAGAC